CTCCGGCTTGTAGCGACGTCACGCGTTCATCGTACAAAGACTTCCAACTTTTCTTTGCCTTCGAGAACGTCTGCTCTTCACCCGGACTCATACTCGACATCATCGCGTGGTTGCTATGTTTGGCCAAGGATGAGTGTGCACTTGTCAGATGTGAAGGTTCCTTTCTCCATTTATAGCTCTTAGTCTCTGATTTGGACATTCCCCTGTACAACACTTCCTCCCGAGGTTCGACCTCGGGACGCTCCGAGGTCTCCTCTGTCCTCTCGGCTTCCTCCCGTTCGAGGACCTCGTCTGGCTCAAAGTCGGGTCGAATGAGCGTTCGCTCCCCTTCGTCAAAGGGATCCACCAGCGTTTCGCTCGCAGGCTCGGCCTCGGCGCTCCGCCTTTGATTGCCATCGAGGTTTTTCTCGCTCCTTAGTTTCATTTCGCTCACTGAAAGATCAGGTTGACCTTTAGTCGATTCGTCTTCAGCAAACGCGTCGGAAGCGCTGCTAAACGAGGTTTGGCTACGCCTAGTTCTAAACTTCCGCGTGCTTCCCTTGCTTAGCTTGGGAATTTTAGTAGTCGATCCTAGCGAGTCCCTGCGCTGCATAGTTTTTAACAAAATGAAAGTATTCGTAATTTGATGGCACTGCAAACGTACCACAAACAAGATTTAGTTAAATCACTTAACGCCGTCTACTCGATTCCGTCAGTTTCAAAATGTCTCTTAGATCTCTCACGACTAAACTAGTGACTCAGCTAAAGTTACACACAGGGTCTACCCAGTGTGGATATAATGCTAACTCAACCCGGTTGTATAGTATAACAGTATCACTAAGTTTCCACAAGATATAATCGACACACAAAACACAGTAGATAATCAGATAAGAATATCCTACAGGTGACAGCGACCTTTTGTCAGTATCAATTTATCGCCACACAATTTATCAAGTCACTGCTTTGTTAAAATTAAACAATCTTTGATAAAAAGCAGTGATGACTCAGAAACAGATAAATAAAACTTAGTCTTAAAGAAAAAGACTTCCCCCAATCGGAACGATCCGAAAGAACGAAGCCCAGGACACAGTCTTCTCAAGTGGGTGTGTATCTGCCTATTACACCCACCGAGGTCTTCTTTTAGGTGTCCTGCGATTGCCCGAGCTGTCCTACCAAGTAGCTCAAGGCAACCTCTGATCGAAGATTTCTAAAGTCTATGAAAAAGCTCACCCACACCCGGAACGCTCCAAGTGCACGAGAGCAGGGAACAACTTTTCTTCTCAAGTGAGTGTGTATTTGCCTAATACACTCACCGAGGTCTTCTTTTATTTGTTCCCGAATTGCCCGAACTTTCCCATTAAGTAGCTCAAGGCAACCACACAACCAAAATCACAATCAAAAAAAATTTCTTTGTTCGGGTACTTCTGATACACCCAATGTAGAATCCAAAGTTGATCACGAATTTCCGGGTCAGAATGGGTTCTTATGATCCTGATAAGCACGCCTAATATTCTAATATGATCTTAATTAAATGGATATTTTCCGTTTCCCAAATTGCCACAGAAAGTTTACTCAAGTCTCTAACAAGGAGGATCGTTGAAGGTTTAAGACACTCCGGAGGGTTACCTCGGAGGGTGCCTTGATCACCCAAGTTACTTCGGAGGGTACCTTAATCACCCAAGTTACTTCGGAGGGTCCCCCTAAACTTACTAAGGAGGGTCAATAAGATGCTTAATACGCTCCGGAGGGTTACTTCGGAGGGTACCTCCAAAATTTTCAAATTTTTTGATCTCGCTTAGAAGGTTCTCCTACTAGCTTCAAAAAGCGTCAAAACAAGCTAGGAGCTCTCAGGTGAGCTGTTTTAACTTCTTAGGGTGATCTCGTGGAAATTTTCCACTAAGGAGGGTAGCTAAAGGGTTTAGCTGACTCCGGAGGGTCACTTCGGAGGGTTCCCCCAAAATCGAGAAAAAGGGTTATATCACCGCAGTAAAGCCTCTGAAAGCGGTCTACCTGACTTAAAACTAGGTTGGCTGACACGGTCAACCTTCCCAGTTGAATAAAAAGATGTTTTGATAAAATTTTCTGCCGCTCGGAGGGTTGCCCGTGATTTGGACCCTCCGAACAAACAAATCCTAAAAATTTTTCTTTTCCGAAATAATCAACCCAAAAACGGTTGCGATTCGGAAAAGTGGTCAAAAACGTCGACTTATGGTACCAAAATTATCCCGATCGGATAACTAGTCTTTGAGAAATCGCCAAAAACGCGTTCGTCAAAATGGCCTTTTTCACCACCTATATAGGTTCTGAAAGACTTTTTCCGCAATTCCGGTCAAAAGTGCCTAAAAATACTTGAAATGAGCGTAGCAGCCCTGTACGGCACTGGAATAATGCAAAAAACCGGACCAAATTTGGTTTAGAAACAAAAATTTGGCCAAAAACTATCAAATTTGGACCCTCCGATTCCTTCCTTTTCCAAACCTTAAGTCGTTAGCTCTATCCACGGAGCTACTCGGAGGGTTACCCAAAAATTTCTCTAGTAACCGAGCACGTTATGCTAGCACGCTCCTAACGCAAAAAATTTTATTGCTCTAACTCTAAAAACTCAAAAACTCGATCCCCAAAACAGATTGACAAAATACAAAAAATTATCAAAATTTTGATCGAAAAATTTTCGTTTTTCTAACTTCTACTGAGTCTTTGCTCACGCGATTTCTTTAGTGAAGGGGATCGAACTACGTAGCTACTCTCTATATAAAAGCTTTTTGCCTATCGGAAAAGCTTGGATATCCGAAAATTTGGGGGTCTACAGTTTGGTCGAAAATTGGTAATTTTCGACAAAAAATGGGTGTTTCTTGGGTCTAAATAGGAGATAAGTAATATATAATAAGGATAATAATCTATTAATAGTCGTTAATGAATAGTACTATACCCTCCTTTGCACCAAAATATCCGAATTAAGGCCCTTAACTCGGAAATTTGTAATCGATGGAGGGTACAATCGGACCGCGCCAATCGTGCCCCCCACCACTTAAGTTTTAATGAAATAGTACCCGAACGATACTAAAATTGCTTCAACGATACCCAACAGTCGTTGCGGATGTTGTCCTTGATGTCCCTGTTGAGTGTGGAACACGTTGATCAGCTTGCCACTCTACCCTCCGGCCACCGGCAAAATTACCATTAACGTGCTTAAACACTCAAATTACACTCGAGGGAGGGTATCCAACCCTTCACCAAAACACACAATCTTTCTATCAGAAACGATATAAATCAATCTGAAACAACAACAAATAGGAAGGTCAGATCACATCTCGTCCGGAAATAACATATAAACCGTCACTTTAAGTTTTTTACTGTTTTTGGTCTTTTTTGGATTTTTTTAACTGTTTTTTGTACTTTTTTGTTTTTAAATAAATTTGTTTTTGGCTTTTTCTTGGTTATACACTATTTTTGCTTGGTTTTACGCTTTCTCTTTAGTTGTTTTTGGTCCGGGGACCTCGGGACAAGCGGGTTCATGACTTCCCACCTAACCCTCCGGCCCCCGGAATTTTCGGTGTTAACTAAGTTAAAAAGCTAAATTGTACTAGACGGAGGGTACGCACCTTCCCCCTAGTACAACAACGGTCATTAAGACCTCTAACTCGGGCATACGCCCGGAGCGGAGGGTTCGTCACTGAAACGCTTGCTGATCATGATGGTTTCATGCCTTTAACAGGCCCACCCAGGAGCGCCATAAAAACGTCTATGTAACATTCGCCCAAATATCACACAGCGACGGAGCGTAGAAAAAGTACCTATTAACGACTGGCAGGCGTCATTTACCTTAATTCTACTCGTTTTTCACCGTCTCGACCTTGCCAGTTGATTTTCTGGTCTGTCTAGGGCAAAGTAAAAAAATACCATTTTTAGGCCATCAGTCAAACGACTTTTGATCAGCTTTCGTTTACATGCGAACACAACCACATAGCTGAGTCTCTGATCCTCAGACTACGTGATTGTCATTAAAAACACGGCTCGAACAACCTATTTTAACATGTTTTTGTGTGACAGTTTTACATTAAATCCATTGGAGATGGATTGACCCTTTCCTTTTTCTAGCTACTCATGCTCTGAAATATTAAATAATAACGGTGTTAATTAAGATCTATGACATTATAGCAGCTGTTATAGTTAGTCTATACAGTCCCTTCACATAGACAGTCTCTGGGGGGACCAAGCCTCCGCTCCCGTGATTTTCTTGAGATAACACTCTTATCTCTTATATTTCGTGTCCCGGGAGGGTTCCGTGGTATACTTCTTCCCCCACTGAAGCCTCCTTCTCCACAAATATCCGTCGCTAAGGTTCTTATCGTGTGTTATTGCCACGATAAGAGGCTTCGTCTTTTTCGTCTCAGATACGACTGTTCTTCACAATCTCTATCGTGGTTCTGATTTTTGTCTTTTTCTTCAAAATGGCCGTCTTTTTTCTATTTCTCAGAAATGTTCTTCTTCCAATCGAAATTTTAAAAATAAAAATTCTAGAACATTCTGACCCTCCGTCGCAACACTTTTTTTTTCATAAGGCCTTTAGTCACTCTTTTTTATGTCGCCGGAAGGTTGTGCTGTGTCATCTGGCAGAATGGCACATGTTTTTCTTGAGTGTTTTCCCGCAATTGTAAATCGGTCGTTCTGATTTTTCACTTTTTGTTTTCAGTTGGTACGAGAAAACTGAGCATGACAGGCTCCATTCGAAATTTTGAAAATTAAAACTTCACTCCAAAATTACGTATTTTCGTGTCTCTCAAGGTCAAACTTCCAGACATGACCGACTGGCACAGACCGACTGGCACATATTGACAAACTTGTGAAATTTAAATCCACGTTAATTGTTGTATTAAAAATTTCTGGAGTTCAATACCATTTTCTACTTGAAGAGGGTCCCTTACGGCGTTATAGTAGCAAGTTCATTGTAAACTATATTAATACAGTACATCAATTGGAAAACAATATTGCAGGGAGAAGGTCCATTGAGGATTGCCAGTCGTAAAAGGCAAGTGGTTGTATCTTTCATAATTCTAATCTTTACAGAATAGCTGCCTACTTGATATAACTGTTTCTGAGGAATATGTAAACAAAACTTGATATGCAGACACAATTGTTCAACATATCAACGCAACGGATATGTTGAACTTTCTACGATTGCTCTTTTTTGCCTCAGAACATGATCTCTGGCGACCTTTAGTATCATTTAAATCTCGAGACAGAAAAGAATGCGTTCTGTTTCAGGTATAATTAAACATGAAAGAAAATCAGATAATTGAAATTCTGAATTCTATTCTGGAAATTATAACGGACAATATGCCTCTGCTAAGATCTCACACAGCGTATTTCTTAACCGAGAACTCTTATGAGAAGCTAATTTGCTCAAATACAAGAACACTTTTAGAGAGTTTGACTATCCAAAAGATAAAAAACCTTCCCATTGAAGCAAAAAATGGCAAGTTGACAGAAATACTCAAGCAACCACTTCCTAATTTAGCAAACTGCTTTCCTCCTTTTTGTGTATCGGATTTGCAGAAAGCGGAGCTCCTAGACAACTGCTGCGATAAAACTCAAATGAGCAGAAAGAAGTACCACGAAGTGGTGAGGATAGGACACTTTTTGGAATGCAATTCACGATTGTTGAATCACAATGTAGTTGATCTTGGGTCAGGTAAAGGCTACCTGAGCGATTATTTGAGCCAGTTCTTGCAATACAGAGTTGTTGGCGTCGAAACATGTGACGCTTTTAACGATAGTGCGGCAAAACGCAGGCTAAAAGTATCTAGAATCTGGAGAAAAATGGAATTTAATCGCAAAAAGAAAGCGCAGGATGAACCAAACGATTCGTTCGAAAACATTAGAGATAGAGAGCTAGCTTCCAAGTCAGACAAAGACAGAGATACTCAGTTGGAAACTCGTCTTCGCGATAATTTCAACGCTTCGCTTGTTGAAAAATCTTACGAAATTAAAACTGATTACATTACATCTGGGTCCGACTTGTCAGAAATTTTCCCTGGGGAAAGTTTCTCGTTAGTGGGGTTGCATACATGCGGTGACTTGGCTGCTAGCTCGCTCCGTCTTTTTGTGAAGTCCGAAAATTGTCGTTTCATTTGTAATGTAGGATGTTGTTACAATACTTTGACCGAAGAGGGCTATGAAAGAGGTTTTCCCATGAGTCAATTTTTAAACGCTAATTTCAGCGAAGAGCTTGGAACTGCCAAAACATTGGCTTGTCTCTCTCCGGAGAAACAAATAGACGGTGGCGGCAAGGATCCTCTGCCTAAAATGTTCAATAGAGCGTTGCTTCAAAAGCTAGTCTTAGATAGAACTGGATATTCACTGGACCATAGAAAGCAATTTAGCAAGAAAAAAGCAGCTAGATCTTTCCTTGAATACTGCAAATGTTGTTTTCCGTTGATAGAAGTTGAAGATAAGCACTTTTTACAAGATTTGTCTGATTCTGACATCGAAAATTTTGAACAAATCAATGCTCCTTCAAAGCATCAAATGTTCATTTTTAACCATTATAGAGCTTGTTTTGCTTACTTGTTAGAACATTTGTTCCTATTAGACAGGTTGCTTTTCTTGCGAGAAAATGGTATTGAAAAAAGCGAGGTTGTCCAATTATTTGATCCGAAATTATCACCTCGATGTTATGCTGTAGTTGCATCAAAAAATGGCCCCTTGACCATTTCAGAGAAATGAGGAATTTATCAAGGGTCGCTCAATTTTCATTACGTTCCACGCGTTTCGCGAGCGACGGAAACTTTGCAGTAAAAGAACAGCTGCTCCGAAGAATCGACTCTGTCATATCTCAGTTACCACCCGACAGGGATGCTGCGTTCAACTTCAAAGATTATTTGGAAAGTGTAGTGAAGCCAGCCTTGGAATCGCCAGGTGGATCTCTCAATCATTTATCAGAGGAAAAACTAACAAAACTGGAAAAAATATTAACACGGCTGCAGGAAAATCAGATTTCCAAAACTCACTATGTGCCATTTGATAAATTTAGAGGCGCTGTTTTAAAACCAGAACAAGTACCAGTGGCAATTGAAGCCTTGTCAAATATGAAGGACTGAAAAGAATAGCGAATTTATTGTTAGAGCTTATAATTGTTTTAATATCAAATTGTTGATCTAGAAACAAGTGAACAGGCATTGTATAAATGCCGAAATTCTTGAGCGGCGGAATGGTAGGTTTTTTGCTGAGAATTCGGAATGCTTATGCAAAAAAGCGGAAATTTTGTTAAAAAAGTGCATTTTGCCAAAACCATTGTACTGTTCGGTTTTGTTGGAAAAAATGTTTCGTTCATTTTCGGTTGGAATTGGCTCGCAAATTTGAGTTGTGCGTCAAAGTTTTTTGTTTGAAATTGACATTTTCTGTGGACTGATCCCAGTTACACTAACAAAGTTCATTAGTTCATAATTTTTTCAAATGTTATTTAGAATATTTTTACATAATTTTTAAAAATTATAAGAACTGCGATAATCTGCGTTTTGCCGCAGTTTTAAACCATGCCTGAATGAAGATTTAAAAAATACAGAATGAGCTTAAGAATCAAGCAAATTATTTAAATAAATCTTAGGTTTTATTTTGCGATCATGTCATAATGTTAGTGTGAAGTGTTTTTAAACATATTTTGAGCATGTGGTTTTGTTTGTTAATGGACGTAATGAATATTCACAGGACTTGGGCCGTGGGTGTTTTCGACCGTTTTTTGCTCTCGATTTGGTGTTTTGGTGGTATCCTTTTTTGATTTAAGTTCACGCTCAAAAAAAAGTTTTGTTTCAACAGTGGGTTTTCTTTTTCAAGTTTCCAATGCGATAAAAATGAAATTCGGTTGTTGTCTCAAATTGAGATCGTAACTGTGTCAAAAATGTAGAGCGTAAAATATTTTTGTTCATCGAAGAGTTTTCAGGAAGTCCAATTAATTTTGTAAATGCAGCTGGACTGGACACTTCCAGTTTTTTCACTGGTGAGAGCAATTTTTTTTGTAATTGGGAACTAGATTTTGACCTTCGACAACTTTTTCGCAATCAATTGCGTCAGAAAGTTCAATTATTTGAGGGTGACTTCACATCTTTTTAAGTTCCCGTTCTATTCGAAATGTATGTTTTAATTGGTCTTGCTTTTGTTTTGTTTTTTCTCTTGCTGTTTTTTTTGTTATTCGGATTCAAAATATTCGGCTAGTCTGTTATCGGCTTTTTTGCTTCAAATTGCCTATTTTATGGGCAATAGCCTTTTTTTCTTTCTTGTGTATGATAAAGGAGGAGTTAGCCATGAAATTTTTTTTACTATTGAGGTGTTCTGCGGTTTAACGGGCGTCTGCCCTAGTTTTGTTGAATCCGAAACTTAACATATCATACTTTTTGTAACCTAACGTTAGGTTATAAAACCAACTTTTATAACCTAACTCGCAAACAAGTGTTTAAATGATTTCACTTTTGCTATAATCACGATCTGTAGCACTGGAAATTTAATTGTATCTGTTCTCTGCTTTTAATGTGACTTGTGTTTGCCTATCATTGAGCGTCCGTGGTTGAGCAGGAAGGATGAGAGACTGCAAATCTCGAGGTCGCAAGTTCCAATCCGGCACATATCAAAAGTTTTAATAATTTGAGGCTTATTTCTACTTTTTCTTCTTTCGTTTTCTAGAGATACTTTTTGCCGTTTTCTCGCTATTGTTTGCACTGCTTCACCACTTGTCTTTATCGACTGGTGTTCCTCAAAATTAACTTAATTCGAGACAAAAGTCTGAAAAATTCGATCAGGCTAGTTTTCCATGTTTTTTTCCCACACAGCTTCAGTTCGGTGTATGAAGTAACTTGTCGAAAATTTAATATCCGTTGTCTCGAATACACGATTAGTATGAATTGAGCTGCATGCCTTTAAGTGTTCAGATTTAAAAAACAGTAACTTTTAATATAGTTGTGTTTTTTTGAGAATAAGTGCTTAAGCTTCGGTAAGTGGAAAGCTAATTGCGCAATAACAAGTATGCAAATAGCTCAAGAGAAGGTGATTGATTTGTAGTTTCAAAAATTCATTTTTAGTTTTCAGAAATGCCTGCGGATTAATTACCCATTAGTCAAGCTTCCTAAAATTGAGTTAGTTATAATCAAAAAAGTGTCAGTCACAAAAATTCTGGAAGTTATTCAACGAGCTTGGTGATTTGATTTTTTTAAGTTCACACATTGAAGTTGCTTTCTGAAAAAGTATTTTTTTAGGTTTCATTGAATTCTTTTACGCTTTTTTAACGGCTATGTTCTGAACTTCTGCGGACTATCTTGACAATGGAATATGTTTTTAAAACGCAATTGATTCGAAGATCCGTTTAGCCTCTGCAGACGTAAAGAACGCATAAGTAACGCCAATTTCATAGCATCTGTTCTCTGCTTTATTGGTGGCTAGTGTTTGCCGTTAGTCAAGTGTCAGAGGGAAGGACGTGAGGTTTCTAATACACTAGTTGCAGATTCAATGCCGCCTTTAGCCCTAGTTTTTTTTTCTTACATTTGATTACTTTTTTGCTGCAAAGCATAGGCATTTTTTGGCATGTTTAGCTGTATCCTTGGTGGCTAGTGTTAGGAAATTTTCAATGGCTTCTAAGGGAGATAACAAATCTCGAGATCGCAGGTTCGAATTGACACATAGCAAAATTTATACTAATTCGAGGCCTATTTCTACTTATTCTTATTTCGTTTTCTAGAGATACTTTTTACCGTTTTCTCGCTTTTGTTTGCACTGCTTCACCACTTGTCTTTATCGACTGGTGTTCCTTAAAAATAATTTTATTCGAGACAAGTCTGAAAAATTCGATAAGCCTAGTTTTCGTTATCTTTTCCACTCAGCTTCAGTTTTGTGTATGAAGTTACTTTTCGATGTTTCGAAATTTTTCCCCCATTGTTTCCAATACAGCATCGCTGTGATTGAACTGTATGCCTTGAATTGTTTAGATTCAATAAATCTCGTAAATGTTCATTTAGTTGGTTCGTGTTTTTTAAAGAAAAATTGTTTAAGGTACGCTAACTGGAAGGCTAATTCCGCAATAACAAATATCCAAGTAGCACTAAAGAGTGATTGTCCTAAAGTTTCAAAAATTCAATTTAAGTTTTCAGAATTCCCTGTGGATTAATTACCCTTTAGTCGGGATTCTCAAATTGAGTTAGTTATTAAAAAAGTGTCGTCACAAAAAATTCTGGAAGTTAGTTCAACGAGCTTCGTTGTTTATTTGTTTCGATGAAGTTCACACAATGAAGCTGCTTTCTGAAACCGTAGTTTTTTTTGGTTTCAATAAGTTCAGTGACGCTTTTCCAGCGGCTATGTTCTGAACTTCTGAGGACTATCCTGACACTGGAATATATTTCCGTATCGCAAGTGATTCGAAGATTTGCCTCTGCAAATGTAGCAAAAGTGCAACTTCATGCAGCCTAATAAATTTTGCATTTATCCTCTGTTTATTTACCAAGCGAATATCTGTTTCTCTTTTTGGCTCGTTGATCTTTGGGTATAAAATTGGTCTTAAGAATTTGGAGAGCTGTGTGTTCGAGTCACAGATGGCACGCTGTTCGGCTCTTTTCTACACCCCCACCCTCACAATAAAACGATAATGCTTTTCTGGTGCCATTTGCGGCAATTGTAGTGTCTCGTCGGGCCTGTTGCGTGAAGGCGGCCCCCTGGACCCCCGTATCATCTTATACCTCATACCATCACGCATTCAGCCATAATAAAACGTGTGACAAGTAAGAAAATGGAGCGTTCGAAATATGGGGTGGGGGATTGGAAAAGAGTCGAATTTTCTTAACATCAACTTTTAAGCTCTAAAGATTTATGCTAGCTGTTATTCAGACTTGCTAAATCGGATCACAAACTTTTTGGTAAACAACTCGGTAACAAGTTAGCGAATGATCAGTCTTCCGATTGGAAACTGAACAACATCTGTTGGAGAGAGACTGATAATAGAAAAGCGACAGATGGCGTTATTATAATGGTTGTAGAATTAAATATGAGGTAAGGAAACGAAAAAATTGATGTATAAGTATTAAAATATCGATATATAAGTAATCGAGACGGTGATATTTTAAAATAGGTGGCAGGTCCAACTGATCTAACTCAGTTGAACATAAAAGTTGGTAGCCACCGGGATGCGAGCGGGGGCGTATGTGCCTTCTGTCAGATGGCTTATCCACCACCAACCAGTCGGAGATTTTCGATTAAACAGGTTTAAATTGAGAGTCTCAACCTATAATAACCAGTTCAACAGCTGTTGTTTCCTGTGTTTCTACCTTATTACCCTTGTTCATAGGTTTTCACTTTTGCTATTCACGATCTGTAGCACTGGAAGTTTTATAGCATCTGTTCTCTGCTTTGTATGTGACTAGTGTTCGCCTATCGTTAAGCATCCGTAATTGAGAGGTAAGGATGAGAGACTGCAAGTGCTTTTATACAGCAAAAGCTTTACTAATTTGAGGCTTGTTTCTACTTTTCCTTATTTTGCTTTCAAGAGTTGTTTTTTGCCGTTTTCTCACTAAAGTTTGCAAAGCACTACTTCGCCACTGTTCCATACTCACTTTTTGCTGGAAGTTGTCTTTATCGACTGGTTTTCCTCAAAATTATTTTTATTTGAGACAAAAGTCTGAAACATTCGATAAGGATAGTTTTTAATGTTTTTTTTTCACTCAGCTTTAGTTCTGTGTATGAAGTTTCCTTTCGATGTGTCGAAAATTTATTTTCCATTGTGTCCAATACAATATTTGGTTAGTTGGTTATTGCTTCATCATTTTGTCAAAATTAACTAGTCTGCTGAGCAAAAATTTCCGCTGTTGAGTTGTAGCTTAAATTGTTACCCTTGCGATAAGCAAGGGTATTGCAATCGGGTAATGTAGTTTTTTCCCCGTAAACAACTTTGTTCACAGGATATTGCGCCTTTCGATGGACGAAAAAAGTTCGCGCCTTTCGATAGGCGAAAAAAGTTTGTGTATGCGTATCTGTGTTTTTGAGGGTGAGGTATGCGTGTCTGTGTTTTGAGGGTTTTTAAGACTTCTTATTAGTCTTAAAAAATGTTTGAGTTTTTTGTTTTTACTTTTTTCGGCTTGATAGGTTTCGG